AACTTGAAAAACATCACTGTATGATACTTGCACTTTTTTTCCTGAAAAGGAATTCTTTCTTCTCCTTCAACACTCTATGCTTCTTGTGGTTAATATACCTATGCTTTAAAATATCACACTACTAAGAGGGGCCATTTAATAACAAAATCATTTCCTCTCACGTTCTGTGGTATTTCACTTTTGCAGTAGAGTTTACAAAGTTTGAAAGCAAAAGCAGCATTGGTTCCTTCAGAGAAAAATGATCCCAATCTACCAAAATAAAAGCCAAACAGACTCTAATTGTTCCTTTTCCCACAAGGGGCTTGCCCTTTTTGAAGGTGTGGGTAATTTTGATAGGACCTTCTCTCCAACAGGGTTAGTCACTGGGAATTGCCTCTTCCCTTGGGTAAAACCCACTTTTAAATCTCATTTTAAAATAGATCTCAAAGTATCTTTGAAAGCAAAAGTACTTCGGTATCCCTCCATTTGTCTCCCCCCTCTCAGCAAGGAAACTTCAGTTTTCTTCATAGGGTGCTTCCTGCTGTGGTGTCTAATCCTAACTTTGCTTTACAGTCATTTGTGCTAAATTAGGAAAGATTTTCATTTTAGTTTTTATTGTGCCGTCCTTGTGTTGTGAAAGTTAAGTAAATGCTAACCAGGGAGCTAAGTTTTTGTTTTCATTTTCATTTTTTATCATGTCTAGTTCCATAGATTTTACAATGTCAGGTTTTTTTTATATTGGTTGCTAGTGCAGTGTTCATCAGAATAGTCAACACAGCAGCCTTAACTTTCCCCAGCCTTCTTACCCTATTTTGATTAAAGGTGCAGGATTGGCCTGGCCCTGGCCGGTTTGAGTTAGCAGTTAGAACATCAGCCTGCAGACCGGAGAGTCCTGAGTTCGGTTCTCGCTAAGGGCACATATCTTGATTGCGGTTTGTCCCCTGGCCCTGTTGGGGTTGTGTGGGTGGCAACCACTCGATGTGTCTCTTTCATATCGATGTTTCTCTCTCTCTTCCTCTCTCCTTCCCTCCTGCTCTATCTGAAGATAAATGCAAAAATGTCCTCGGGTGTGGATAAAAAAAAAGGTACAGGATTATACCTTGTTGTCTCTCATCATTTCCACTCCTTGGAGACTTGAAAAACATCATCTTTATGATACTTGCAATTTTTTTCTCCGTGCATAAGGATTTTCAAATCAAACCAAGCTTTTATCTTCTGTCTCTTGTCCACTTTTCTTCCTCCAGTATCTTACAACCCATGATTTGTCAGCCACGTACAGGAGACTCCTGAGCCACCAGTCACATGAGAATGAAGGCAAGAAAAGAAAGGACCAGATGGCATAAAAAGATATGCCTTTCTAGGTCGTTGGTGGTTAAGCTAGCAATCTGGTTACCAGCAGGGAGACTATGGGAGAAAGGGTGGAGCAGCACAGCACCATTGTAAGGGAAGGGGAATTTTGCCAGTTTTCAGTCACAGGGTGTCCATTGCTCTTGGAAGTGTGCACCTAAAAGTGGCATATAGCACATGTGGAAAACTGTGTACTGTATTTGGATGGCAACTTTGAAAAGTGTGGCTTCTCCTTGGTTGATTGCTGTCCTTCCAACTACCATGAATCTGTAGCCATTCTACTTTCCAAATGTCTCGTTCAGTTATAAGTACAAAAACTGTAAGAAATGACATTTGGCTCCCACAAATACACTTCTTCCCACAGGAGAGCAGAGGACATGGTTCATTACTCATCCTTTATACTGTTATTTATTTTGGAGGACTGCATTGATAAAACATAGAAAATGGCATCATTGGCCTTTGTAAGACATGATATCTCAGGATATGTTTTCTTGGTATAAGCTGTGTCTTGGAACACACTTACACTTATTTGACTGGAGGAATGTTCAGTAGTTGCTAATAATAAGTATTTTAGAGGACACTGTGCCTTCCCTGTTTATTTAGGCATTACTTACACCTTGACTCCCCTGGCCTGTGCACCTCCTGATTTCACTGCATAATTGCAGAGCACCAGACTGCTAAACTTTGCTTATACTTTTTAAAAATAGAATTCCAACTCAGTTGTTTTCCCTTGGATGAAAAAAACTAAGGTATTTTTAATTTTAGGATTAAATTTGGTCCCAAAATATGAACTTGAGTCCTTTACTCTTTTTAAAATTACCTTGAAAATACTTGCGTTTTCATAGACAAATTCAATATTCCTGACATCCAGAGTTGAGTTTTAACCTTTTGTAAGTCTACCTCCTCCCATTACAACCTATCTTTTTATTCAGATTACGTTGCCCTTGCTATCTGTATGACTCATTATGAACCAAATGAAATAAAATAATGTTTTGTTCTGTAGTCTAGATTATACACTCTTAAAGTTTACATTTCTTATTTTACTTCTACTCAAGCAAGTGTCTGGATTATTGCTGAGTATACAAAAGTAATGTAATAAATATACAACTCAATGATTAAAAAGAGAAAAAACAGCACTGGCCAGTTTGGCTCAGCGGTTAGAGCGTCGGCCTGTGGACCAGAGAGTCTCAGGTTCAGTTCCCGCTAGGGGCATGTACCAAGAGAAAAAAACATAAATATCTTAGTCAGTTTCTGCCCCCTTTTTTTTTTTAATCCTCACCTGAGGACATTTTTCCATTTTTTGTTCAGATAGAGCGGGAGGGAGAGAGAGGAAGAGAGAGAGAGAGAAACATCAATGTGAAGGGACACATCGAGTGGCTGCCACCCGCACCACCAACCAGGGCCGGGGACAAACTGCAACCAAAGTACGTGCCCTTAGCGGGAACCGAACCCGGGTCTCTCTGTACCGCAGGCCGACGCTCCAACCGCTGAGCCAAACTGGCCAGGGCAGTTTCTGCCCATTTTAATATGACTTTTACTTATGTCTCACAAAATAGAAAATTGACCCACCCATTTTTTCCTTGATGTAAAGAAATCATTCTGAAGTTTTTTAAACTAAAGGATATTTCCTATGTATACCCTGAATTCCTTGTTTAAAAGTAATTTAAACAAAATTGGCAAGTTATTCTTGTGGTAACATACCTGTTAACTTTACTAGTTAATTGCTGTGCTAACTTCTTTACATGACTTAATTCAGAGCCCCCTTGGGAGCTTCTAATCATTAGCAAGAGAACCACAAATCTCTCCAACCTCCAGTCATATCATATATGAGTGCACTTGTTAGGCATATGCTATAATAATCCTAATGAAGCATGTAAAGGCATTTTTTTTCTGTGGATTTTGTTTTTTGTTTTGTTTTTAGTCTGCTCAGCAAGAGCACTCTGTGGTCATTTGAGAGACCTCACCTAGGATGTTTTCCAGTTAAAAATGAAAATTTTGCTAAAGGCTCTGTGATTTGGGGTAGCACAGCAGGGGAGGAGAGTGACTTCTTAATTATTAAATCACATTAAGGAGAATCCATTGATTTCAAGAAAATAAAAAAAAGTCCTTTATCCACATCAGGTATGTCGGGTTTCAGCCCGGAGCTAATTATTAGATTTGAGTTATTGAACCCAGGAGAGAGATTTGGAATGGAAATACTAACAGACTTTTATAGCTGGCGTAGTGGGTACTGGAAGAATCTTAACAATTCATCAAGTCTCTGACCTTATAACCTTTAATCATCCTTGCTTGCCTACCCCTCTTTCAGATTGCTAGCATTTGGAATTTCACTTGACATCATTTCATGTATATTAAGACAGAGAATGCATAGTTTTGTGAGTAAGCTAATGCAACCATTTTGGCCCTCCTTGAGTAGAAAATGGAAGATGTGTTTTGTATCTGGTACAATTGAGACAGTTGCTAAATGTTCAATTATAGTTCTTTAAGAATAGGGGTAAATTGTGAACACATTTATGAATTTTCTTTTCAGATATATTATGAACTGCTGAATTATGTTATGCCTTATGAAACACAGGACCAAAGATATGGACTAGAATTATTTTAGGGTGGAATTATGTATCCAGAACTCTCTTCATGGTGATCATAGTTCCTTTAGGGTACAGGGAAGGAAAATCCATAAGGCTGCCCGAAGTTTCCCCTAACTTGCCCACAGGATAGTTGGATTAAAGAATGCAATGACTTTTAGTAAAGAATTTTTCACCTGGCTTTTTCCCATATGTGGAAAATTACAGGTGGGTAGTAAGAGAGAGGAGGAGAAGAGAGAATAAAAATTAAAAACTAATGAGCTGGTTGGTACACTTAGATATTAGAAAGCCAGGGGCTGTTTTATAGGTTGTGGTTTCAGTGGCTAGAATTGACCACAGAGCCATATATTTTGCCTAATCCTATCCTGGCTGGTCACAGAATTTTGCTGTTTCTATGTGTTGAATCATATGAAGTTGTCATGTCTATACATGAGAAATGGTTGAATTTTTAAAAACCTAAGTGAGAAATTTTATGTGGTTCAACCTGATACATAATAATATGTAACGCTAGGATGGCTGTGTGTATGTGTGAAAGGTGGAAGGGTGGATATGGAAATCTGTCAGCATTTTATACCTCCTTGGAATACCCCAGCTGAAAATCCCTATTCTAGCCTGCAGTTGTAGGCCTGCAATTGAATCAAATACAATTGCCCTAGTATGCTTTCCTACTTCCACATTAATATATTTGAGATAGTTGCCGGCCAGTGTGGCTCAGTGGATTGAGCATCATCCCATGGACTGAGAGGTCCCAGTTCAATTCCCGGTCAGGGCACATGCTTGGGTTTTGGGCTTAATCATCCCCAGTAGGGGACATGCAGGAGGCAGTTTATGGGGTGCGTTAAAATTAAATCATCTGACAGAGATTAGCACTGGGGATAATCATCTGAAGTGATCGGCAGCTGTAGAGGAGTACAACAGAAATGGCAGACTGAAAATCAGTAGGCATGCCTGTACTTGCACATATGGAAGAAGTAGGGATGTAACGTTGTTATACACTGAATAATGTGCAAATTATTATTTGTCTTAAAATAGGTTTTAGGATATCCCTAGTGGAATATTTAGACTTATTTGACTTATTGTCTTTCTTAGACGAGCTCATCTGCGCCTATGTTTAGAACGCTTAAAAGTTCTGATTCCACTAGGACCAGACTGCACCAGGCACACAACACTTGGTTTGCTCAACAAAGCCAAAGCACACATCAAGGTGAGAATTTTTACTTTCATATTTGCATATGATTCTCTTGGTCCTGGTCTCATTAGAAGCAATGATTCCTATTCATATACATCAACTAGCTTACCATGCCCTCCTTAATAACTGGCTTGAGAAGTCTAAGAACTTATCAGTTGATCTGATGGGAGGGAGCAACATAACATGATTAAACTAAATTGTTTTGACAGCATGGCCATTTCAAGAGCTGGGAATACTAGAAAAATAACAATTACCCTGGTGATACCCAGAAAGAAGGCAGTTGTGCCCTCTGGTGGAGATGACTTCATTTAACTGTGTCCCTCAGTATTTTTCCATCAAACTACACTGCAGAGCAAGTTTCTCTTTCGTGCAGATAACTTTATAGACTTTGAGAATTCCATACTGTTCTAGTAATGTGTCATACATTATACACCCCCCAAAAAACTCCAAAGAAATAACTATTTTTGATGTTTAAAAATATGTATATATGTATGTCTTTATATGCACATACACATATATACTTGTACATTCATTTATGTCTGTCAAAGAAATCTTTTGAGATGTTAGGTAAAAATTAATTTCACTGTACTGGACTATACACAAACTTAAATATCATTTTAGAAACTTGAAGAAGCTGAAAGGAAGAGTCAGCACCAGCTAGAGAACTTGGAAAGAGAACAGAGATTTTTAAAGCGGCGACTGGAACAGCTGCAGGGTCCTCAGGAGATGGAACGAATACGAATGGACAGCATTGGATCAACTATGTCTTCAGATCGCTCTGATTCAGAGCGAGGTAGGCAGTGTGTTTCTTCCCTAATGAAATACTAAGAATCCCTGTATCTGAAATTAGGGGAGGGTAGGTTGGGAGGCACTGTATTTGTTTTTTCTCTTTGGCCAACACTGTAACATTCTAGATTTTATGCAATCACAACATTGTCGAGTAATGCCCATATGAATTATAGAACTTTTTTCTTGATCAGATATGTATTTTTAATTTTCTACTTTGAAACAATTTTAGACTTAGAGAAAAGGTGTAAGTTTTTTGTAGAAAATTATAGAGTTCTCATATACCCTTCACTTCGGATTCCCTAATGTTAATATCTTTATATAACCATAGTGCAATTTTCAAAACCAGGAAATTAACATTCATGCAATATTATTAATCTGTAGACCTTATTCAGATTTCATCAGTTTTCCTACTAATGTCCTTGGTCTGAGACAAGATCCAAAGCAGGATTCTGCATTGTATTAGATAGTTCTTCAGTATTTCTTTCATGACCATGACACTTTTGAAGAATATTGGCTTATTGTTTTATATAGTGTCCCTCATTTAGGTTTGTCTGATGTTTTCCTATTAGTAGATTGGAGTTATACATTTGGGGGAAGAAATACCAGAGACATGATATTGTGCCCTTCTCAGTTTATTGTCTCAGGAAGATACATGATGTTGATTGATGTCTTATAATTGGTGATACTAATTTTTATATTTATGTTTTAAAGTGCCGCACCCTTCATTTCTCTTTCCATCTGTCCCAGAATATTTGTTTTTTGGCAGAATTTAAAAAGAAAAATCAACCAAACAGAACTTTGATTTTTACTGATCTATTCATCTGTAGCTCCCACTACATCAGGCCTTACACCACAATAAAGGATCCCAGAGGTAAACTCTGGTGATTTTAAACTTTACATTTGGGAAAATGGGAGCTCATGAGATTCTTGAGGATTCTAAAACAAAAATTGTTAGCAAAATTTCTTGTTCTGACTTTATTATGGAAAATTTCAAACATACAAAAGTAGAGAATATTTAACTCTCTTGTACCCATCATCTAGTTTGAACAGCTGTCAATATTCTATCATTCTTGTTTCATCTGTTCTCCACCCTCAACCTCACCATTTTTTTTTTTTTTTTTTTGGAATGTTTTCAATAAAATCCCAGATAACATTATCGTTTTCCCTAAATACTTCAATAGGTATCTTTAAAAAACCTAATCAGCCCTGGCCAGTTTGGCTCAGCGGTTAGAGCGTCGGCCTGGGGTCCAGAGAGACCCGGGTTCGGTTCCCACTAAGGGCACATACCTCGGTTGCAGTTTGTCCCCGACCCTGGTTGGTCGTGCGGGTGGCAGCTACTCGATGTGTTCCTTTCACGTCGATGTTTCTCTCTCTCTCTGTTCCTCTCTCTCCCTCCCACTCTACCTGAACAAAAAATGGAAAAATGTCCTCGGGTGAGGATTAAAAAAAAAAAAAAAAAAAAAAAAAAAAAAATAAAAAAAATAAAAAACCTAATCATACTATTATAATATCCCACAGAATTAATAAAATCAGATAATCTTATTCGGTGTCATAATAGATTTTCTCAAAACTGGCATTTTACCATTGGTATGTTTGAATTAGAATCCAAAGTCCACATTACATTTGTTTATGCTTTTTAAGATACTTTTAGTTTATAAAATTTTCCCTTCCCCACTTTTTTCCCACTACCATTTATTTATTGTAGAAACTAGGTCATTTTTCTTATAGAATTTCCCACATTTTAGATTTGTATGACTGAATCTTCATGGTGTCATTAAACAGTACCTCATAGTTTCCTATAAACTAATTGGTAGATCTAGAGGGTTGATTAAACTCAGGTTCTTTTTTTTGAAGCAAAAATACTTCATAGATGGTGCTGTGTACTTCCTGGTACATTAATATTATGTCTAGTTGTCCCACTCTAGTGAAAACATTGGTTAGTAGGTTCAGGTGTTGTCATCTTGCTATTTTTTTACAAATGTATCAAGCTTTCATTTAATAGTTTTAGCAATCATTGATTATTGCCCCATCATTATTTCATTAGGAATTATAAAATAAGTGATTTTCTAATTCTATCATTGTTCTTATGTTTAAGTTTTTCTTCTATAAAGAAGAACATTTCTTCATCAAGTTTATGGTTAGTCTGAAATAAAGTCCATACAGGGAAAATGGGATAAATGCTTGTTTTGTTTTGTTTTCGCTTTATCAATTTTCTGAATAAGTTGGTGCGTTGACAACCTTAATAGTGTGTTTTGTTTTGCTGTTTCCTTTTTATTATTTTATGAACTCATATTTTCATGTATTGAATGTGTTCAAATCCATTTTAGTCATTCTTTTTCATTTTAATACTCAAATTTCCTATATTCTGTAGGAACCTTTCAAATTGGTTTTTTGATCATTTTTTGTTGTTAATCCTCACCAGAGGATATTCCCAAGGATTCTGTTGATTTTTAGAGAGAATGGAAGGGAGGGAGATACACACACATCGATTGGTTGCTTCCCACACATGACCCGGACTGAGGCCAGGGATTGAACCTGCAACCCAGGTTCTTCCCTTGACTGGAATCGAGCCTTCAAGCCTTCAGTTGGAGGGCTGTGATGCTCTAACTACTGAGCCAAATTGGCCAGGGCATTTTCTAACCCCCCCCTCTTTTTTATTGTTTTGTTACAGATGTCCCCCTTTTTTCTAGGAGTCCTTGGGTTTGTTGTTTTGCTTATGTAAAAGTCTGTTTTTATATGGCACTCAGTTTTGAAGAACAAAAGTTTACCAGGGGCAACAGCAAGAACCTCTAGGACATGCTACATTTATGAGTGACAGTGAGGTATAGCAGAAATACCCCCAATTTAGGAGACAGACCTTTATCCTAGTCTTTTTTCTACTGCTTTATGAGCTGTGTGACCTGTCAGGTCTTTAGGCTTTAACTGCTCTTCCTGCTGTTATCTCCTCCTACCTACCCACCTCCAAATTTTGAAGAGGGTATATCTTTATCATTATAGATCTCATTTTTTTAGTACCCCCAGTATGCTAGTACCTTATCTAGTAGTGTTCTTATTCTTATCTGGCAGCCCTCTTTCCCAGTAATTTTTAGTAACATCTCCAGTCCATTTGGCTAGAGCAGTCTATCATTTTACTTTGTTTTGATTGAGTTCTGCACACTCTGTTAGATAGGGTGTCTTCATTGTATTTCCCAATTGGAGGTTGGATAAATGTTCTATGATGCTGGGAAACACTAAATAGCATGTGAAGCATTGTGGGTATGAAACAAATAGTTATGAATTCATAGGATTATTTGTACAGCTTGTTTGGACAGCTGCCTGCATTTTAAAAACAGATCTCTAAAACTTTTGAAGCAACAAGCCCTTTTGAAAGTTATACTCTTTGAACTAACTTACTCAGTCTTCTTGGGCTCAGCAAGAATCCACTTTTCCTAAAGCAATTGTGATCAGTGTGAACCCTTCAAGTCAGTGCCAAATATGAAACATCGGGCTTTGAGTTTGTTTTAAGAGAATTGAAAAACCTTGAGTTCATTCTAGCTGTTATGGGACAAAACAGTTTTTTAACTGCCTTTTATTTATTTTTTTAATGTATATTGCTTTTTTATATATTAGGGTAATTATATATGTAGTATTGAACAATTAAGATATCTACCCATAGCTAGGTCATATGTATTTAGGGTTTTTTTCATCATGTGTGATTTTTGAAGTAAAGTTAAATCCCTCCGCTAAAATGCCTTTACTATAATCTTTACTATAGAACTCACTATAATCCAGAGACTTTAAGCATCAGGCCCTCATTTCAAGCTATATTTGATGCAAGAAAATTAAATTGAAGACAAAGACTATGGAGTCCACTTTATAATGGCTGGCTTATTTGGGTTACTGAATAGTCAAAGATCTTTATGATGAATCCTAGAAGTCTGAAGAACTCTCTGTAGAATGATACCACCAAAGGCCTGGATGGATAAATTTTCTAGTTTGCCTATATTAAGTTTATGCTTTTTCCCCCTTTAAGGCAACTCTGATTAATAAACAGCACTGAGAATTAGTTTCTAGTTTAATGTAAAACAGATGTTGTTAAACCACTTGGGGTTGGGATCTTTTAATATTAAGCACTAATTCCCAAATAGGCCAAGTGCTTTTGGTGGGAGGTCCAGACAGACTGGCGTCAAAGGCTTTAGTAAACTTGCTGCCTAAATTGAGACCACCACTGTATACCAGACATTCCCTTTTGCAAAATATATTCGTGTCTCTTCACCTTTGGTTCCTTCTGTTCTCCAGACATCACTCATAATAAGCTTGTTTAACAATAATTTTCTACTATAAAAAGTAATCACTTTTCTTCTGTTAGTTAGTTTTTTAAAGTGCCCATATACTAGATTACTAACATTCTTTCTTTTTCCCCTTTGGCAGAGGAGATTGAAGTGGATGTTGAAAGCACAGAGTTCTCCCATGGAGAAGTGGACAATATCAGTACCACCAGCATCAGTGACATTGATGACCACAGCAGCCTGCAGAGTATTGGGAGCGACGAGGGTTACTCCAGTGCCAGTGTCAAACTTTCGTTCACTTCCTAGAACCCAGCATGACATAACAGTGCAGGGCAAAATATTCACTGGGCCAATTCAATCCAAACAATCTCTTAAATTGGGTTCATGATGAAGTCTCCTTTAAAACTAACCTAAAAAAATCATACTTGAACAAAAGGGTCAGAAGACCTCTATTTAAGCAAATACTTAGCAAAACATGGGGCAGAACCTCCCCAGCAGAACAAATATTCATAATATTCATTTTTGAAAATCACAATTTCTAATGGCAGCAGAAAACTTGTGTGAAATTTTCTTGATTTGATTTGAAAGGACATTGGAAATTCCATCCTCTTTTTTCTTTTCTAGTTTGCTTACAGTACATTGTGTAGACTCATTTAAGGATGGGATTCTGAACCCTTCCTGAGCTTTATGGTTCTAAAAAAAAAAATCAAATCTATGGTATTGGCAAGACAAGATAATCAGGCATTAATCTAGGATAGCTAAAGAGCTATTAAAAGTCAGCCTGGGCTAGCTTATCATGAAGCCTGTGGATGACCAATTCTTTAATAAAAAAAAAACAAAAAAAAACTCATTTCATGCTCTGCAAAAGGAGAGACTCCCATGAAGCCTTTTGAAAGGGATCATCATGCAGCTCAGCTTTCTGTTGGATTCCATGCTAAGCAAGCTAACCTTATCCTGCATTGTTAGCACTAGGGCACCCAACCGCCAGCTCGACAGTTAGCCGCCCTTAGGCCCTTGGGCAGCATGAGGGCAGTCCATGAGTGACAGCCTCTACCACACAGGGCCTATGAGTTCGGATTGAAGGGCCAGAAGGAAAAAGCTCCACGTGCCTCTGTGTCTGCGTGGGCCAGAAGAATTGTGCACGCAGATTAGCAGGCCAAGGTCTGAGCCACGGCAGCATTTTTATTTCAGATTTTGATAACTGTTTGTATGTGTTGAAAACCAAAATGACATCTTTTTAAAGCTTGTCCATAAAAAACATAGATGTCTTTTATATAGTGGAAAAACGTGGGAAAAAAATCATCTATTTTGATGCAGCATTTGATAATGATAAAACACCTCACACCTCACTCTTTATAGTGCACAAAATGAATGAGGTCTGGGCTAGGTAGAAAAAAGGTCAATGCTGTTTTTGTTTTCATTTAGAATCATTACCTTTTACCAGCTTTAACCATCTGATATCTATAGTAGACACACTATCATAGTTAACATAGTTAAGTTCTGCACTTGTCTCATTTTAATGTAAAGACATGCTTCCGTTTTCCTACAGGCAGTCTCTCTCCTTCCTCACAGTCCCACTGTGCAGGTGCTATTGTTGCTCTTATCAATATTTTCAGAAATGTTATTTTAAGTGAAATTCCTAGCCTGCACTTTGATGTCATGTGTTCCCTTTGTCTTTCAAGTTCCCAAGTTTCCCCCTGGCCCTCTCCTCTCTCCCTTACCCCAGGAAGCCTTTTTGGAGACCTTACCCCTGGCTCTTTGAACTTTGTATACTTTAAATAATTTAACTACCCATAATTACTTAAAAAAAAAAAAAAAGCTTTATGATTTTCATAACTTATTGCTGATTTTAATGGGTTGTTAATTTCAGTCCTGTAGTTTTATTTTGTTTAGATAGGGCTGGGCAAGGAAAAAGAAAATAAAGACAACCATATTTAGCAGTGCAGTTGAGTTGTGTGTGTAATGTTAGACTATCCTTTGTAAGTAGCACTTTAACAGCTTTCACTGCTTTTATATATGAAGTGTACCATCTTGGTCATACACAAGGCCTCAGCATACACGTACTTGTTCTTGTGCTCTTCCTGTGCCTCCAAAAATATTTTATCCTTGATTGTGCTATGTTTGAGTGGAAGAAATCCTTTGAAGTAGATGTGTGAAAAACTGCATGCCTTTAGAAGCCCATTATTAGAACTTGCTACTTCAGGTGCTGGGGACTTAAGGAAAAACATAAATTCATTTCTGTGGCCCAGATAAATTATTCTGGTTTCATTTTAAATTACTCTTGGCTAGGTCAAAATGTTGCTCTGTATAGTTGCTTATTTTTGACTTTCCCAAGTAAGACAGTTTGAAGACTCTGCTAACTACCATGGAAAGTAAGTGGAAGCCAATGACTAAGCTTCCATTTTGTTATTCCCATGGCATTCACTTGCATCACTTGCCTAGGGCTGGAATTTGGGACGATTCATTCAGGTGAACTTGAGGTGCTGCCATTTTGTTGTATATGTATAGGATGGTGGGCTGAGAAGCCTTTGTCACAAACCTAGAGTACCTATTTCAACTGCCCCCTAAATTACTCCTTCCCTGGGTTTGTTTTACTTGGGGTGGGGGGGTGGATTGTATGATGAGTAAGAAGTATTAATTTTTTAAAAGACAAATCGACTTTGAAGATACAAAAGTTAATTGCAAGAAATAAAAATTGTGAATGAAGAATTCCCGAGTGCTTTTTGTACCACCCTTCTCTTATGAAGGAAGAATATATAAACGAGTATCCACACCTTGAGAGCCAACTGTCACGTAAATGTCTGTGTTGATACTACTTCAGTAATCCAGAATTAATGGCAATTTTGAATCACTGCCATTTCCTGTTCTATAATTTAAACAGGTGCCTTCTTGACTGATAACTCCACGTAACCTAATTGCAGAATTGCAGATGGTTTACTCTACATTATAATCTTTAACTGCTTCAGCTAGGACACAAAGCCCTTTGTCATTCTTATCTGTTCTCCAAATAACTTTTTAAGGAATCCCTTTGGCTACACATATTATTCACACTGAAAACAAGTCTGGAAGTTCCTATTTAGTCCCAAATTATCTGAATTAAGTAAGGTACCCTGTATGTAAAACATCTGAGTGATGGAACAGGTAAACCTTATTTCAGTGCATATTATTACCAAAGAAGATTGTGATGGTGTCATCTAGTTTCTGATTAAAATAGGGATAACTCCTCCAGTGACAATATCTTTTAGCATTATGAAGGGATTTTAAAAGTGAGTATTGAGGCAAAGCTCCCAACCTAAGGCCACACTGCTTCCTGGGTCATTTCTCATGAGAAACTTGTTTTGCTCCTTGGGGGAAAGGTTTTTTAGTGAGTTTTTCTTCCACTGGAAGCAACAAGCTGCCTTTTTCCCTTTATCTTCCATCTAAAAAATCCCATACGTCCTACCAAAAAACAGCATAATGTGGTAAGAAGGGTTTTGGTCACTTTAAATCCCAATTCTAGCATTTGCTAAGGACCATAGGCAAGTTACTTAATTTCTTTATGGAGACTGTTTCCTCCTGAAAAGTTATGATAAATACTACCTTTATCTCAAAAGGTTGTTAAGGATTAAAATTGATAAATGTAAATTATACCCCCCCATCCCACCTAGGAGTTTGTAGCACCCAAAGGAAATTAAGAGGTATGTAACTTCTCTACTTGCTCTGATGAATGCAATATTTTAATCTCTTTATCCTTAATCTTGAATTTTAGTTATTCTGACTGTAGGTCTTGCAGCCAAGCACTATTTCTGTTAAGTAAAATGGTTCATTTTCACAAAATTCCATGGCAGGTTATACTTTGTATGTAAGTCAGTTTTGATGTCCTATAGGATTTTTAAAATAAAGCCTTTACAGGATTGATGTATCATCAGTTTTAGTGATTACCTGGTCTTTCTAAAAAAGAAGAGGGGGAGCTACCCTGAGCTTGAGTACGTTATACACTGATAGTAAAGTAACTACTGCATAATAATTGAATGTCCTAGTTAATATTTAGTGCTGGCCTTGCCAAGAAAGAAAAATCTTCCTGGCCCATGTACTAGATCTGACAGGGAACTAGTTTCCTTGTGGAATACATCTGATTCTTTTAATTATAAATCAGTATAGTTCTAAATATATGTACTGGCTGACAACTTCACTTCTTGGTTGTGTTTTACCTTTCTATAGTCATAAATCATTAGGGGAAATGGCTTAAATGAAGCTCTTTCCAAGCTCTACCAGCTAACTTTATAAAATTTTGGAATTTTTTCCATTTCCTCAAGCTCTAAGCTCTTTGCTATAGAGGAATGCTTAAAGTCTGTATTGGTAGGGCTATCCTTAGGACATTTATTTTAGATTTCAGACCAAGACACAGAATAGCATTGTAAAAACATAGCAAAAGCCATAAAATGTCTATAAAAAAACACAAATTTATGAAGTCAGTTTCTTCTAAATTAGCAGCTTCATCACACTTAACTCTGAAAGCTAGGTCAACTAAACCTGACAGTACTTTTGGAGGAAAAAACTGGGCAAAGGGATACTTACTCCTGCTTTCTGCATACTTCTAAGCAATGAACAATTGGACAATTACCATCTATTAAAGACTAGCCTAGCTGCAGACCTCAGGCTTCAAACTTAGTTTTCCAAGGACTTAAGAGTCAAGTGTTTCCTTCAAGCCAGAATTGTTTCTCTGGTGAGAAATTCACTGCATCTTGCTAAAGTAAGTACAGGGCTTAAAAGGGGGGAAAACAAAACAAAAGCACATCAGTTTCACCAAGAAAGGGAAATCATGAGCCAGCAAAATAACCATGATTTTTGCCCTCAGGTTGACAAAGTAGCTCTTCAAACAAAAAGCAAACCTTTTCTCATAATGAGTATAACCATGGCTTCTTTAGCTGTGCTCTTAAAAAAGACTGAGGATACAAATTATAGTTTTAATAACTCCAGTAACTTGTCTGTATTGGTTTCATAAAAATGAACTGGTGAGGTGCTTAGTTTTGAAATTAGCAGTTTTTATTTCCTGGGAACTAAAAGATAAGTATTCATAATTTGATATTTTTAGCTAGTTCAGCTATCAACTAAAAGCCCAGTGTTACTCTCAGATCTGCTTTACCCCACTAAAGGCCACAAAAGAACCACCTCTATATATACATAAGCTGAAAAGTAGAAAAGGCAATTGAAGAACCTCACAGAAATCTAATACCTTCCATCTTATGTTTTCTTTTACTATTTATTTTTAGCCAGGCCAAAACAACTTAGAATGTCAACATATTGCTTTCTGAACCCCTTGAGAGCATATCTATACACAAATATGCTTAAATACAGTATAAGGGGATTCAAATTACTTGGATTTCTGTTTGTTTAAACTAAGGTATTACCTGTTATTTTGCCTGCTATGCTCTTCCTTTCCACTGCAGTAAAAATTCAGTTTAGCTTGCAACTCAAAAATCCTAGATATAAAGAATGTTCACATTTACTTGTAAATTACCATTTACTATAATTTGTTGCTTCGTAGTATAATACAAATACTTAATACAACTCAGCAGGTATTTATTGAACTCTAAAGATTTTAACAAATATAAAACCTTTTTGGTTTTAATAATTTTTTATTTCAGTTACTATTCAAGTTAAGGCAGAAAGTCAAATCAAAGCTTTAAAAATATTTTTTGGCTGAATTTGCAACTGGTATTTGTCCCCATTTATAATTACAATCTATAGACACAGACAATTTACAAAACTGTTTTTTCCTTTATGTCACCTGATGGTTTTCCTTTGCTGTATTAAAGGCAGACACACTCAGCATTAAAAATGCATTGTAATGGAAACACATATACATGGACATCCTTGCATGAAAAGCAAGCATTTAAAAGAAATGAGTTGTGCCCTGGGCGGTTTGGCTCGGTTAAAGCGCCCGCCTGCGGTCCAGAGAGACCTGGGTTCGGTTCCCGCTAGGGGCATGTACCTCGGTTGCAGTTTGTCCCCAGCCCTGGTTGGTCGTGCGGGTGGCAGCCACTCGATGTGTCCCTTTCACATCGATGTTTCTCACTGTCTCTCTTCCTCTCTCTCCCTCCCACTCTGTACAAAAAAATGGAAAAATGTCCTCGGGTGAGGATAAAAAAAATAAAAATAAAAATAAAAATAAAAGAAATGAGTTGTGCCCTGGCCAGTTTGGCTCAGTGGTTGAGCATCGACCTGCGGACCAGAGTCCAGGGTTACGTTCCCACTAGGGGCACGTACCACAAAAAGAAAAGAAAAATGAGTTATTATAATAAAAATGTATTTCATTTTAGTTGGATGCCTAGTCTTCATGATTGGGCGAAGAAAACAGCTTATTATGGTAATTTTTCCTTCATTTAAAAAATCAAACTACTTTTATAGGATGGATAAAAGTACGTTTTCAGTTTGTATGGTAAAAGATACACAGGTTATGATTATTAAACTAGTTTTATTAACTCAAAAGAATGGCATAATGGCATAGTAAACCTACTTTTGCCTACCCTTGTATTTACCCAAAAGCATGGTTCTCAGCCAGGGATGCACATCATAATCACTTTGGTCTAGATAGGTATGGGGTAGAACCCAGGAAACCCTCTTTAATTTTAAACAATCATTAGGGGTGATTTTATTATAATTAGTACCATCTCCTTTCCATTAAGAAATGTGCCCAAAGATAATCTTTGACCTAAAAATTGTAACCTTTAGTAGGATGTACTTGTAAGTTTGGTAATTTGGTAACATTTCAGTAGTACATTTATAATTAGGGGCCACATAAGCAATAGGCATTATTATGCATTTTAATATGACTTGTTCAAATAAAGATCAGATATTCACCATCACCACTCTGCAGAGGAACAGCAAACACTTCTATAGTGCTTACCACATGCCAGGTACTCTACTGAGTACCTTACACATACTAATTCATCCTTACAACTTACTGAAACAAGAACTAGTCTCATTCTACAGCTGAAAATTTAAGCAGATTTATACACACAGGTTGTAAATAAGGGAGCCAGGATTCAAACACAGCAGTCTGGGCTCAATATAGTCTTCTAATATGGTCTTTCTACATGTTAATTTAAAAAGCATGTTACCTGTGATTTTTAATTTTACTTATTTTGGGGGTGTTAAGACTGTTCTTTCCTTCAACTGTTTGATAACAATAAAGTCAAATGTCAAGTTTTGAAAAGATGCATGCAACCATAGCTACTTGGGGGGCCTAAATGACTAACAACACGATCTGTCAGTTATGGAGCTTGTCAAGTCCCCTTTATTTTTCTATCCTCACCCGAGGATATTTTTCCATTTATCCTCAGAGTAGGAGGGAGGGAAAGAGAGAGGAACATTGATGGGAGAGACACACATCAACTGGCTGCCTCTTCCACGACCCCGACGAGGGCCCGGGTCTCACTGGTCTGCGGGCTGATGCTCTAACTGCTGAGCAAAACTAGCCAGGGCAGTGTCCTTTCTTAATGGGAAACTCTAAATTAAATTTTACAACAAGGCTTCATAAGACCAAGTGTTTTATTTGGTTTCAGAATATTGAGAGCTTAACCATCACTTGTAAATGTGATGCTTCTCATCTTTAACATGACACAAGACAGGTACTCTATCTCCCTAGGCATCCTAACTCTAAATCTAATCCAGAGACACTATCCTCATCCTGACACCTAAGACTTTTCAAAGACCCACATCTAAGTCTTTGACACAAGGGCTCCTGATCTCATGCTATATATGCCTATTTTCAAAAAATGTTTTAGCCCTGGCCGGTTTGGCTCAGTGGTTAGTGTCGGTCCGCAGACCAGAGAGTCCCAGGTTCGGTTCCACTAAGGGCATGTACAGGAGGCAACCAGTCGATGTGTCCCTCTCACATCAATGTTTCTCTTTCCCTTTCTCTCCCTCCCACTCTACCTAAAGATAAATAGAAAAATAACACTGGGTGAGGATTAAAAAAATTTTTTTAAATAGTTTCCACTGCAATCCTTCAAGGATACTAATTATTAGTACGTTACAACTAGTAACAACAGCATTAATGTATTTTTTTTTATCCTCACCTAAGGATATTCTTACATTTATCTTCAGATACAGCAGGAGGGAGGGAGGGAGGGGAGAGAGAGAGAGAGAGAGAGAGAGAGAGAAACATCGATGTGAGACACATTGACTGGTTGCCACCCACATGAGCCCAGCTGGGGCCGGGGATGAACCACAACCAAGATATGTGCTGTCGGAGAGCAGTAGAGCATTAATCTAAATGGCCCCTTTTCTACTGTAATTTGTACCTTGTATTTACAAATTTTTCACCATTTATTCTATCCTATGTTCTCTCCCTGGTGGCCAAAAATTTAAGAATGAAAAATAATTTCCTGGGTCAGGAGGTGGAAGGGCAAGATGAAATATTCTACCTCTCACCACTATCCTCCTAAAAGTTTCAATTTACAAAAAAAATTTAAATTCGTGAAATAAAAAGTTTTATTTTCCCTTTATATCAAAAATTTACAGAAAACTCCACACAAAGCATAATTCCTTAAAATAAAACTAGTTTCCCTTCAGAATCCAATTTATGTCTAATGGGAGGGGGGAGTACATAAGGATTTATTGAAACCTTTATCATACTCATTCTCTTCTGTGGAAATGATGTGCAAGGACACTGAGACTTAATCATTATCAAAGACTTTACCTTTCTGATAACACACCCTGGAGATTTTAAAAACACTTTATTTAATAAAAGTTAAACATACAAAAACTGAAATTAACACATCCTAAAAATCACCATCTTCCATTAACAGGAAGACCTTTTTCTATGCATATATTTGGCTTAAACTCAACTCAGGATAACTGATGTTCACCTACACCAGCAAATGCTGACAACTTGATCTAGTTAACAAAAATGGCAAACTCAGCTACATGAACATAATATACAGGGAAATTATGGTCAGATTAATGCACAAGAAATACAGTAAATTTTTAATAATGAAACATTCAGTACTCTTGTTCATTAATTTAGCCTTGGTTTTTTTTCCTTTTTCTTTTTTTTACAAAAATAGTATCTACACTGTATACAGGGCTATACATTAGCTTTTTTCTCATATAAACATTTCACATCCAAAAAATGGTAGCACTACCATAAGTGAAAAACCAACACAGGAAAAAAGCAAACGTACACAAAAAAAAATTAGAAAACGTAGCTGGTCCTACATGGTTTCTTACATAAAACTAAAACTCGATGAAAAGAATAAAAGAGCTGGATACACTTCGAGATGACCTAATAGACTTAGGAAACAAGTTATGGAAGGAAAAACCTCAAAACAGACTTTGCCATTTACAAATTAATCTATTTTAGGCTTAATTGGCCAATAGCTAAATTATAGTTGAAGGAAAACAAAAAGATCTCTGTAGAAGTTTGGTGTTTTGCCTTGATGTTCCAGTGAATTGCTAGAATACGTCGTAAGTTCAAAGGTTCTGAAAGTTCCAAGTTAGGACTTTACAAAAAATATGGGGCCTGATATTAGGAAGATCAATAATTCATCTAAGTGCTTTATTTAAGCAGCATCTATCTAGAAAAGTTGCTAAATTTACCCAACAAACTGTGAGGAAACTGTGGTAGTAGTAATGAAGCAAGTTAAATGAATAGCAGTTATCAAATGCAATTTCTTCAAGTTTCATTCTATTGAAGTCAAACAAAGACGACAATGGTATCTTCCTTACTCATCTAACAAATAATTTACCTTTAGAAAAATATAAGGATAAAAAGGTAAATGTAAAGCCCTGCAGAGATGAAATCCAACAGTTTTTCTGATTATTGAGGCATCAAATGCCTGACATTATATTTAGAGGTATCTTGATACTGTGTCATAGGTTTATCAGCAATTCCACAAGTTCCTACTCCAACTTTGCCAGTTACACTCTCAGGTGAAGCAAAAATACTCCTCTTTACCTAAGGGAAATGAAACAGAAACCATTGTTCTTGATTAGCCTTGGAAACGATAAAAATCACAAAATACACTTAGAAGGAAAAGTACATCAAGGGAACCTGGGCTCTTTTAAATTAAATCTACCAGTGATGTCCATCATAAGAGGCATGTTAACGAAGCAAGTATGGTTCAACATTCTTCCTTTTAAGTGGTAAAATAGCAAATAATTTTTCAAATTTTAGTTTATAGAAGGAAAAAACCTAGATCTTCTGTAATTCTGATATAAATTCTCTCATTCATAGTGTTTCTATTGCAGAGACAGTAGCTAATGAAGATTTTTTTCAATAAGCCAAACTGAAGATTGAAGAGGATTTTGAATTTAAGATCCAGTATTTTTTAAAATTGATGTGTACCCCCTTTTTCATTTTAAAGTTATTTTAATGATAGTTGCACTTTTCATATTAACAAAGTATGAAAGTTGGTACAAATGTACTAACCTGGCCTTTTTTGTTTTTAGAATAGGCCCTGTTGTTGAACTGTTGCCATTTCACTTTCTGGTCCTCTCTCTCCTGCTCAAGTTCTTTTATTCTCTGTGCTTTTTTCAAAGCTTTCTTCTTTTTATATTCACGCTGCTGGGCAATCATTTCTTTTCTGTGTGGATATAACAACTAAATGTCAGCTCTTAAGATTTAAAAGATGATTTCCTTGAGGATATTTAGCAGTGCAAAAAAAAAGGAACTACCACACACACACACACAAAAACCCAGAACAAAAACTAATAAACTTAATACACTTCTCCCCATGAATAAAAGCACTAACATCAATGCCCATCACCCATCGCCACTAATAAATGTTTTTGAAATATCCTTGGACACGTTCAAACATAACAATAGTCTATTATCCATTTAAATCAAATATTTCAACTATGACTTTTTATTTGATGTTTACACAGCTCCTGCAAGTTGTTTTTTAGGAATAAGATGAGTGTCAACAGATGTCTAAACCTTCTATCAAGTTCTAACAGACAGCAAGTGTAATATGCTTACTTTGGGAAAAGTGTATGAAGAGATTAGATGAACATAAAACTTTATTTAATTTAGATTGGAAGAGCACAGCAGCACAAAGGGAAATAATAGCTAACGATTTTTAACACAAAAACTGGGGTTTTCCAAAAAATAGTGAAAATCAGAGCCTAAAGCTCTCACAATAAGTTCTGCTCAGTCAACACTGACTTCTCACCAAAATAGGATGAAGAAAGGTCTTTAAAAAGAGGCAATAAGATCTAGACTCCTTTGTAAAATCACCCCTATGAAGCTAAGTGTGGCTTTTTACACAGATGTCAAAAATTAAAAATAGAGATGTTACATCTGATTTTCTTATTGGGATGTTTAAATCAAATGTTATTTTACTAGACAATTTTCTTAAATTCAAATATACTTATAAAGCAACTTAAGTTTTGAAAACTTTGACAAATCCAAAAGATGGCAAATTGTAGCAAATATGCAGAAGTTAACCAAAATATTAATTCTGCCTCTTAAATACCTGTCAAACTGTACACTTCACCATCTTCACTCTACTACTCTCTGGGTTCTGGCCACCCATCTACACCTGGATCATAGTAGTAGCAGCCTTCTCTCTGCTGCCAGTGATCATTGGGAAGCTCAAATCTGATCACATATCTCCTCTACGTGAAATGCATCAGTGGCTTTCAAAAGCTTTTATGATCTGGCCACTACCTCTCTAACCACTCCTCTTGTCAAACCACCTAGCCTCAAGCCCCAAGGTTTTACCACAGGAATTATACTTCTATGTTCTAACCTTATTTTCCTTTTTAAAAGTAAACATTTATTGAGCTCTTAATGTGTGTCAAGAATAATGCTACATGCTTTATTAATGCTATCATGTAAAAGTAATAACCTCATAATTTAGATACTATTGTCCCTGCTTTACAGATGAGGAAAACAGAAGATAAGCAGCTTGCTCAAAGTCATACCTTCTAGTGCTTTAGCTGGCTAACTCCTTTCTTTTCAGATCTCTAACGTTTAGATGTCATTGTCTCAAAGAAATTTGCCCTAATGACTAAGTGCAGTTTAGGTACTGTTTCTTAGTTCCCTTAAAGTATTCATTATGTTTTCTTCATGACTTCTATACTTTATTATTAAAGTTCTTCTTTAATTATGTATTTTGTTGTCTAGACTATAAACTCAGTCAAGACAAGGCCCAAGTTGGTCTTCACTATTGTGGAACCCCAGCATCTGAGTTAGCAATAGTATACATAGTATCCACTTAATAAATATTTATTGAATACCTAAGTGGTAACCCAAATGCCCTCACCTTACCTAGACATATAAATACAGAGAATGAATGACCTTATATTGCTAATCTTCAAAATAATGGTAAACAATATTATAACCTTTTTAACCTAAACTAGCCTGGCACAGATTCTGCAGACCACCTCAAATACCCAAGTGGGGAAGATTACACATTAAAAATGCTAAAAGGTCACTTACTTAGACATGGGTTTGCTTCCACTGTCCTCCTTTGCCTTCCTTCCTTCTTCTACAGGCTTGAGGTTCAACAGTGGAGTCACTTCAGCATTGCCATAGCCAGCAAAGGTGATTGCAGCGGTGCCGTTTTCTTCATCTATCTCCTCAATCTCCGCTTCATAACACCTGTAAAGATATCATGGCTGTAAGCAGGTGAGTAAAGGTTTAGTACTCAGCCTACAAGACTTATACTGCAGTGATTCAACTATTACACGTGTCTAAAATGAAAGTTCTATAATCAAATGGCCCTTAGGCAAAGATAATATAAGAGTGGTTGGAGTTGGCCATCTGCTATCCTAGAAGGAAGTCCTAATCAATATTTGCCAAGAAAGTCCCTTACATGTCTACTAAATGTGCTTTAGTCAATCTCTTTGAGAAAATATATTTCTCATAGGAGTAATTTCAGTGTGCACTATTCCTAAACATCTAAGATAGCCAACCATTCACTCAATTTTCAAGTTGAGAAAAAAAAGTTTCGATTATTTTTTTAAATATCCATTCATTTTCCTCTGCTTTTAGTTTTCTTTCCTCTAGGATCCTAGCCATTCTTCTGCCCCAAAACTTAATCCAAAGCTAAAACCTAAACTGTATTAATGGTAACCACCCAAGAATTAAATTGGCTCTATTAACCACATTGGCTATACAGAAAGATCAAAATAGGGTAGTTCAAACTGAATAAAAACATCTTACCATTGTATTTTATTATTTCATGTTATAGTTAGTTTTTTTCTACACTTACTGTCCATCTTCACTCCAGATTGCCATACACTTGTCCCCTACTTTCCATGAATGAGTGGGCTGACTAGAAGCAAAACAGTCTGAACTTGCAAGAGTTTCTGAAGGTTGAGTTGACAGAAGGTCTTTGGTTAGTTCTATAACTTCCTAAAAAGAAAAACCAAAAATCCTATTATTTTTATAAGTCACATTGTCACCTATTTTTAACAAGCAAGTTCTTTCCATTTTTGGTGACGACAGCTCTCTCACCATACAGCATTTAAATACTCTACATATTTATTTGCAATTTATAACAAAATTATGATGTAGATACTGTGATTATCCCCATGAAGAAACTAAGATACAGTATTTTATACAGAGGTGAAGGTGGGATTTAAACTCAGACAATTGCCTTTCGACTTAAAAAGAAAACAGGGTTGACTTGAGCTTGTGCCACGCATGATGTGTGTCAAGTTTAGCTGAATAGCTCTCTGTAAAGATGAGAAACAGTCAATTATGAAGGACTGAGCTAGATTCAAGTCACTTTGATCCCATATCTACGTCCTGTATATTTCATATAACTGTATTGTTTTACAGGGTATTACAATACTATTAACTGCCTAGCTAACATGCCCCACATACCCACAAACCCCAAAACACTTGAAGCAGCCTTATTACTGTAGTAATAAAAATGTTCCTGCTCATATAGATTTCTACTAAAATACTGTAGGCATGTCTGGCCAGTGTGGCTCAGTGGTTGAGCATCAGCCCATGCATCAAGAGGTCACTGGTTCAACTCCCCATCAGGGCACATGCCCAGGTTGTGGGCCTGATCCCCAGTGGGGGGTGGGGCACGCAGGAGGCAGCCAATCAATGTTCTCTCTCATCCATGTGTCTCTCTCCCTTACTCCCTCTTCCTCTTTAAAAATCAATGAAGAAAAAAAATTAAAATACTGTAGGCATATGTAAAAAGCCATTAGTCTTCCTATTCACTTATAAAACTTACCTCATCCAGGTAAGCAAGTTACCAGGTTTAATTTAAAATATCCCAATACCTTAACATTAAGCACATTAGCACAGCTTCATTTAAAAGGAAAAAGTAAATGTTCACACACAGAACAAGTAGTATCTTTCTGTGTGGCAAATGTTTTTTTTTGTAATTCAGACTTATACTTATTGGCTTCATTCAAAGGTATTTGGTAGGGCTGGTTTAAAAAACCTATGAAATAGTACAAATTGATAGATCTGCTACCTGTCTGCTGTATTTTTACTCTAATGATGACCCATATTATGCATAATCTTATCTGATTTAAGAACCTGCATACCTGTTCCCCTCCTATTGCATACAAAATATCTTAAAACATCACACTGTGTATTTTGGGAGAAAAATTAGCAAGTTAAACCCTGTACTGAGTTTCTTCTGGCTCCCACTGAGGTTTTATAAATAGTGTTCTGGTTCAGTAGCCAAGAAAGTTAAATATTACCTCTCATCTAAGATTCTAAATCTTCTTGGCTATTTCTGAAAAACGAATATTTGAACCTAAAAAAAGAGGGAATGTTAAGGCCTTGAAGAAAGATTAGTTTTGTGAATTAAAAAATTTTGCGAATAAAAAAACTAGAAAACTCAAGTTTGAGTTAAAAATTCAGTATAGTAGTATCTTTAATGAAGTTTTATTAGGTGCCAAGTAGCCATTCAAATACCTTTTAATTAGATGAACCTTTGCAAATAAAGCAAAGAACTTCCAAATAAATATATCATGCTATACAAAAGAGAGTAAATTATCCAGTCTTGTTTTTAATAAACCACATTTAGGGCCAGGAATGTAATCTAATATAAGCCTGACTCAAGAGTCCATACAACCTCTATCATTAAATAATTCCATCTAATTAGTGATCATTTACCTACTAAAGCACAAACATGAATTCTGCATTTGTAGGTGGCAGATTTGGAACTCTATTGCTCTTAGGATAGAATACCTTCCTACTATATTCTCACACGGAAATACATTTTTACCAAAGGTAAAAAGGGTCCTGAAAAGCTATACATATTATAAAGAATTTTCAGAGCTCTGAACTTTTTAAAAATTCCACAGCATTTATCCCTAATTGTCCTTTTACTTTGCCATATTTTACATGCCCCGCCCAACAAACTATGAAGACCCTTCTGAATTTTGTCCTTCACATGTGCATATGGACCAAAGTATTAGAGAAACTATTTTATGTATGAGGGGGTTCTTAAAGGTACATACCATTAATTACTTTTCCTCCCCCAAGTCTGAGTTCTGAAACTGCTCCTTCATTGACAGATGGGCAGCAGTTACAGTAATCGGCAATTCCAGGAAGCATCAGATGTTGTGATCTACATATCAGCAGGTCAAAGGGGATGCACTCAAGCACTCTGCTTACTGAAGGAAGGCGTTTCGGGGATGCAGAGAGCCACTGTAATATATGAGACAAGTGACTTGACCCCTGCCTCCTTTAGAACCAGTTTTATTCAGCAAAACAGCTTAATAAATTGACTATTTCTGTGATTATCATAGACTGCTTGGGGAGCTAGTCAGCTAGCTAGCCTGGATTTTACTATACCCACTTTTTTAAGTGAAAAAAGAAAGGCAATTAGAACTTCAGTAGATCAATTTGCTGCCTGCTGAGTAACTTTATTCTAGAGAAAAGACAGTATATAAAGAGATAAAAATGGAAGCCTTACTGGCAAAATGGAAGTCATTGAAAATACGCAGAAAGAGTATTTGTCATAAATGAAAGGGCAAACAAATTCATAACCAGAATAAGGACATTCCATAAGAGGGACACAAGAAAACAAAGGAGGCCACAAACTATCAGTCTGAACAGACTTCTCAGCAAACATAAAAGGCAGAATTAAATATCAATGACCAGAAGAACATCCCAGACAGCAGAGAAGGAAAAAAAAAAAAAAAAAAATTAAACCCATGCTAAATAAAAGCTGTGACTGTAGTCAATGAAGACAATAATAACTAGATAAAAGCAGAGATCTAAACACTTTTCAGAATTTATCTAATCTTAAATGATGCCTTCCATCTTTCAATAGTTTTTAATTCAAAAGAGACCTAAATCTAGTAACCAAAATGATAAATTTTTCATTATAAATTAAGAGGAAAAGAAACCAATCAAGTTTGGCCAGGAAAAAACATTCGGTATTATTACTACCTTAAGTGTTAGAAGTTAAGCTTCTAAATCTGTGCCATACAATAAGGTAGTCATATGGGGCTACTTAATTAAATAAAATCAAAATTTCGTATTATTAGCCACCCTAGCCATATTTCAAATATTCAATAGCCATATGTGCTTAGTGGCTACAATACCATAGAGCAGATATAGAATATTTCCATCAATACAGAAAGTTCTATTGTACAGTGGTGTTCTAAACAGTTACAGAAAAATGATTATTTTATAGTTAAATGAGCCCCCCCAGGGCATTATTAACTGAATCCTAAGTAAACCATTTTCATACTTACAAGGTCTACCACAATGGTCTCTCTCCCTATGGTACTTCCACAGATCATTTCACTATAAGACAAGTTAGTCTACCCAGGGTCTGACAATTCATTCTAGAAATATAAAAAATCATAATCATGCTGTTTCAACCTTCACTCCCAACTTCCCCTTGACCAGATCCACATACACTCTTTCTCTCACTGCCCAAGAGGCAATGTAGGCACATTGTACTCAATGGTTCATCTTCCTGAAAGAAAAAGAGGACTGCTTTTAAAATGGTAAAAGATGAAAGGGGCATGCCAGGATCTCTCTTTGAGGCAAGAAGTTGGCCTGAGAGTGGGAAAAATTGCTCCACAAACGTTTTTTATTGACTAGCACCCTGATATCTACTGGTCTGACTTCTACATATTGAAAAAGGATCCTGTTTTCAAAAATAACTTACCATTGCAACGTCATGAAATTTTAGCCTAAATCTAGAATTTGAACCTGAAAATGTTCAACATCTTACTTATGCCAAGATAAGCTCTTTCAGAATCCTGAATCTGGACTCCATGTCAAATAATTTTCATTTGTTTGCAGTTCTAATATCCCTAAATTGTTAATCATTTTAATTTTTTGGCATTTATCTTCAGATGGAATGGGAGGGAGAGGGAGGACGAGAGAGAGAAACATCGATGTGAGAGAGACACATCCAGTGGTTGCCACCCACACAGGGCCGGGGACAAACTGCAACCGAGGTACATGCCCTTAGCGGGAACCGAACCCGGGACTCTCTGGTCCGCAGGCTGATGCTCTAACCGCTGAGCCAAACCGGCCAGGGCAAATTGTTAATCATTTTAATGGGCAAAAGATGCTAGAGAGGTAAAGGATTACTTAGATAAGACAAAGATGATTCAAGTTTTGTACTGAATCAGTACAGAAAGCCATCTAATCAAAACACCTTTTAAAACTATACAAAGCAGGTTCAAAATTTTAAGTTCTCAATACTGTTAAGATGAAAAGTCATATATATTTACAAATCTTATATGTGAAGTTTTTATTAATCGACCTAGTATTCTGAGAAACAGATATTTACTGTTATGACTTTGTCTTGAAATCCCCCTGCTCCCGCTCATAAAAGCAGGTGTCATTATCTACTGATCTTGATCTCTCCATGACAAACAAGATTCCTTTCACATAGATTCAATTTAACTTCAACAAGTGTCAACAACTACCCTTAAGTTCAAACATTATGTAACACTTATGCAGAAAACAAGTATCTTCTACATATTTTTATGTGTTTTCAATACAAGGTGTTACCTGCTAGCTTTGATACACACAAACACACACTCACATTTTCAAAGAATCATGTGGCATTAAAAAGAAGCTTAATCAAGTTTTATTTTTCTCCTTTAATTTCAGTTATTTTTTAACTAAATTTAGTTATTTTTTTAACTAAATTTCCTTTGCCAGGTCTTGAAATGTAAACGCACTTGCCATTGTAAAGTTATACGTATCTCTTCTTTAGTAAGTTTGACAGACTTCTAAAGTCAATTTATTATTTGAGCACACAAGATTTGCATAACAAAGGGCAATGCTTCACACATGTTGATGTATGCATACTGAGGAAACAACTTCTACAAGCCATGTATACCTATGCGAATATACACAAAGAAAGGGGATAAACACCACCTCCATGGGGAGCTTTGGAAACCTATAGATTCTAAGCAATAAATCATTTGAAAACCATAGAACTATTCTTTTTGAATAATTTAACTATAAGTGTCCCCTCATACTTACTTGTAAATCTTTCTTTAATTTTAGCAAATCTTCATTTTCTCCATTTCCAGACAGTGCAGCTTCGACTTGCTGGAGTTGAGCTTTGTAGCTTGCCAGCTGTTTTGCTAGATCCTCTGACATCTGGAGGGGAAAAAAGGGTAAGGCCATGAAAACAAACAAACACAAAAATAAATAATTCCCAGTCTGCCTGAATTAACCTTACCAATTTTGCTCCCAGTCATTATATATAATTCATTGCAGCTTGGTTTATCACCATCACCTCTACTCTTAGTTCAGAGAAAAGCTGATGAGAGGAAAAAGAATTTCTAATTTTCTTTAAACTTCAGTAATAAGGCACTGTGTTGCGTTCATTTAAAAGAGTTGTTATATCTTCACCTGCTCCTCTCCCCCAAAACAATCTGTTGGAAGAGTGAACACTTCTAAAAAAAAATATTTAGAAGCACTGAAAAACACTTCCAACACCAAACATAAATGGCGTTTGGATTAACTACACAAATAACTCTCTGTAGATAAATTATTCTATGAATGAGTGTGTTTAAATTTCATTAAGCAGAAGTCTTTCACGCAGCCCCTTGAACAGCGCCGGCGGATTTCCTTGGGTGAAAGACCCAGCAGATACTCTCCCTATTCGGCAGTCCAAGGACCGTGCCTTTCACCAAATCCTCCTGCTCCTGAAAGGCCACGAGAGAGGCCTTTCTGGACTAACAGCAAACACTCGGGGCTTTAGAGGACGCCCCGGCCTTACAGTGCGCGTCCAACGACAGCCTGGAATCTGGAAGGGCTCCAGGGAGGCGACAACAAGCCGGGCTGCTCCGCTCCGCACCCCTGTACCCCCGCCTCTAAGCCCGCCACAACTTGGCCGATGATTTCAGACCTCGAAACCCAAACATCAGCTTCCAAGGAAACCGAACGCAGAACCGGGCGGATGCCCACGGTGCCGGGACCCCACACCCCCAAACAGGCTCCACCCAAAACGGCCGAGGTTGTCCTTCAGAGGCCTCCCGCGCCCCAAGCCCCCTCGACGGGTTCCCCGGGTTAGCCAGGTTCGCCGCCACGGCCCGGAAGCCCCAAGTCCGGCCGGGGCCGCTCAGGGCTCAACTCCGGGTGGCAGAGGAGGCCCGGGCTCCTAACACTGTTGCCGGCGCCAGGCCTCTCCAGCGCGGTCGGCTGCCGGCCTCGGGCCTCCTTCGACTTGGGAGAGGCCGGGGCCGGCGAGGCCTTCCTCTCTCCCTCGCGGGGTTTGTTACCTTGTGTGGGGTTGGGGGCGGGGCGGCGGGAAGGGGTCGGGGCAAATGAGCCCAGGGGTGGCAGCGGCGGTAGCAGCAGCAGCAGCTAGGAAAATTTCCGAGGCGACAACAAGGCGACTCGTCTGAAAAGAACTCGGTCGGCGATGAGGGGGAGGGGAGGAAAGCCGGGCACTGGGAGGAGGAAAAGACAGAGGCGGGCGAAATCTCGCGAGAAGTTAAAAACCCTCGCGAGAGGCCGCCCGTGTCACGTGACTCTTAGCGCCCACTGGGCGGCGTTAGAGACGCAGAGTGGGGCGGGGTTTAGTAGGAAGGAAGTGGCGTAGCTGGCCTGCGCCCGGCAGGGGCAGTTTTGTCTTACCAGTTCCGGCTGGGAGAGGGGAAGTCGTGCGGTTCCTGTGGGACTGGGTGTTGGCGGTCCCTTCTTGAGGTTCACTAGGGAGTTAATCGCGTGGACCGCCTTAGGCGAGCAGTGCTGGGAGATGGCGGTAACGGGTTTAATGCAGCATTCGTACTAGTAGCTCTCAAAGTGTGGTCCCCTTACCGGTAGCGTCAGCATGGCCTGGTAATATATTACAACTGCAGAGTTTCAGTACACACCCCATATAGGTATCAGAAACGCTGGGATTGAGTTTAGCAACCTGTTTGTTGTTTTGTTAATCCTCACCCGAGGATATTAGGGAGAGAGAGAAACATCGATGTGACTGATTGGCTGCCTCCCAAATGACCCGGCTGGGGCGGGATTTATTGCAGCCACCTTCCGCGACCCTTGGATCTGTGGGCCACCCTTGGGTCCCTGGGCCGCTGCTCCAACGACTGAGCCAAACCAGCCGGGGGTGGGGGGGGTAGCAACCTGTTTAAACAAGCCCTCCAGGTGAAACCAAAGTCCTGTCAAGTTTTAGAACCATTGATTTTTATAATAATAATAACCTTAGTAGCAGCAACAAAAAAACTAAATAAATTGTGGCAGAACCTAGTGGAGATTGATTTATTTAAAGCCTATCTTGTTAGAACCCACGTGATTTAAGTTAATTATATAGGTTAATCTTGCTTGATAGGGAACGTTCCTCAAGATATAGTCTTAAGTGATAAACAGTGGTGTGGTTACTTCCGTTTATATTTTAAAAGAAATGTGCAGTAAGGGTGCATGTTTCTAATATATATTATATTACTTCTGAACGGGTACACGAACCTACTCAGAGATCTGGAGTGGAAGTCAAATGTTTTCACTGATTACCCTTTTTACTAAAAACCCTTTTTTTTCATACGTATATGATTTTTCCCCCAGTTAAACTAGTTATAAAACATAAAGACTTGGGACACAAAGAAGCTGCTATATGAATGCCAGGAAAGAAAGAATCTTCTCCAGGAGATTGGGGTCTGTTGCTAGAACCTTAAGAAGGTCCTCTTCTCAGATGGAATAACTCTTTTGGATATGACATCTTGCCTTTGTGCCTTCTTGTTTGTTTGTATGTTTTTAAGGGGCCTTCCCTTTTCTTCCCTACTTACCCACACATATTCCTCACATTGAGTCAGGTAATCTGCAGAGATGGAAACCAGGTTTGTGATGACTGGAGTGGCAATTTGCAAGAATCGAAAATGCGGCAGAGGGCAGCAGTGTGTAGCTATAGCATTAAGGGGGAAGACAAACCAGAAAGGAATTTTTCCTTAATATGTAGTAGAAATTTGTTTAAAATATAATGTAGTTTTTGACAACTGCTCTTATTCGAATTGTGTATTAAAACTGCCAGAAGGATTTTCCTTGAATATAAAATAAACTTTATAGTTGTGTAAACCTCCCCCCCCCCCAAAAAAAAACATTTAGGAAAATATTTCTTATAAACTCCAGTATAGATTTCTTTATCCTCTTGATAGTTTTTGCTTTCAGGATTGATTTTATTCTCTCCCTCTGTGCAATGTAGATTATATTTGGAAAGAAGCTACATTGAATTGTAGTTCCTCGCAAAGAGATGGTAACATCTGTATAACAGGCAGTTTTTACATGTGTTTATTTAATTTTCACAATGATTTTATGTGCTACTAAAGACAAAACTGGAGCAAATATAAACTTTGATTTAAGAGTGATACATCAAATAGGTGTTCTGACTTCCCACCTCCTTTGAAGTGTCAACATCTACTTATAGTGTCTGGTTTTTAAAACATTCTCATTCAAATGTAATCGTATTTATTCTTCAAAAAGAGTCATCTAAAGTCACTAGTTCTTTAAATCTGGTATTTATTTTATTGAAAACTGGTAGTAAGTAAAATTTAAAGGCTCCAAGTTGTCATCAAAATACACAGCTATTTCACTTTTACTTATATTTCTTTCAAAGAAAAATTTTAAACTGCTAAAGAAAATTAAGGTATAGCAGCTACCTTTGGAAATGTGCCAGTCCACTGCAGGGCCCAATAAACTAATACAGTGCGTGTTGGTTAAATAAGGAGATTGCATTATTTAATTATCTTTTATTGTATTCCTTCCTGACTAAGAGTAGCCCCAGATTTGCCTACTTTTTTTTTTTTCTTTTTGCTCTTGACAAATGCCTGAAGGGGTGGATTAGAGATGTGTACATAGTCATAATAATTGCTTATGCTCTTTGTCCTCTTTAGTCATAATAGGTATTTTGACTGTTTAGATGGAGATTTGCTTCAGGGCATGCTACTGCCTTTTTGTATTTATTGGGTATTTTGGGGTACAGTGCATTGAAAACATAGCCTGGATGACTTACATGGCATCATTCATTTAAGGTTGATGGAAAAACAACTGTAAATGGACTCTGACTAGTGCAGGTGTCCATCAGTCATAGCATTCCTGATTTGTTCATGGGAGTCTGCATTGCGTTGCTAGTCTCAGGATGTGCATCTCCAGCTATTCTGTTTTATGTGTAACACTAAAGAACAGAAAACAGAAAGCAAGAATTCATTCAGTTTGGAAAAGATGGTCTGAGGCTTTACAAGGATCAGAAGTGGCAAAGTCATTCAAAGTTCTATAGACCTATTTGAAAGTGGTGTTTAATAGTACTCTTACATTCTTTGTGGGATATATTCTGAGGGCAAAAAGAACGAAAACTCAGTCACAGATGTATTGCTAACAGTACTATTGATAATGTAATTTTGAAACTTTCATGCCTACTATAGATAAAGTAAATAATATATTTATGTTAGTTAAAACTTAAGAGGGAAGAAAAATAGAAAATAAAGCGTTTTTGGGGGGGCGTGGGAGAAGCCCTCTGATGACTTGTTTATATATTTCCTAGATGTAATGTTACCCCAGATATAGGAGAGTGCCCATATCTTGATATCTAGATACCATTCCCCACAAAAGAAACAGCATTTCTCCGAGAAATGTTTGATTTCAGGTCTCAGGCCCAGAAAGTACAATTGTGAGCCTGGAACATCTTGCCAGAAAGCAAAGAAGTGCCCCAAAACTAATAGGACCAAGTCAAAAGTTCATAGACCGGCTTGAAGGGCTCTCCTAGCCAGATGTGAGTCAATGAGAGTAAAAAGAATAATGACTATATATTATAAAAGCATTGGATATTTTTTTTTTTAGTCTATAAATCCAGTGATCATCAAAATCAAAGGTGGGGGAAGGGATTCTTTATAGAATAATGCCAGCCAATAAAAGTAGGTGGAATGAGAGAATTGGAGAAATCACCATGTGCATTCCCCAATGATTTAGGCACAGGTCATCATCCACAGAAGCTAAAACCCATCTTGTAAAAGGAGGTAGGGAAAAGAAGGATATTTGCACAATGTCAGAGTATCACTCCACAGATTACTTAATAATTACAAATAGGAAGATATACCTTATAATGAAGAAATTCAACAGTCACCAGCTTAACCTAATGATCACATTTACCACCACTAATGTTGGAACAACCAGACTTTGTAGGCCTCTTGATTTGATGCATTGTTATGTAACAGCATCACCTTTGAAGGAATTGTGCCAAAAATACTTAACCTCAATACAGTCAAGCCTTTTGACCCACATTACAGTTTACAGGAAATACGGGAATAGAGGATCAAGTAAACTGACTAGGGGAAAACTCCAAACAGTTCCAGAATGTGGAACATTCTTTAAGAAAACTGACCTAAATTCTTCAAAAGTTACTGTCATTAGAAATAGTGGAAGACTGCTTGAGATTGGGACAAAAGACATATCAATGAAATGTAATGGGTAGATCTTGATTGAGTGTTGATTTTGAGAAACAAAGCTATAAAAGAAATTTTAAGGACACTTTGGGAAATTTGAATATGGACTGGATATTAGATGATACTGAATTGTTAATTTTATTAGGTGTGAAATTTATGTAGATTACTTATGAGAATATCCTATTCAGGGATGAAGGGGCATAATACCTATAACATACCTTCAAATGATTCAGCCAAAAATTATATAAAGTTGTACAAAATTTGTGTGTGTATGAATATATATATTCATATGTATAAATCATATATATGTATATATGGAGAGAGACAATTAAAATGGCAAAATGTTAACAGTTATTATGGAAGGATATATGTGTTCATTGTACTAGTCTTTTTCTGTATGTTTAAAACATTTTCAAAATAAAAAGATGGAGAAAAGTGTTCATAGACTAGAATAGTTGTGAGGGGTGTTATGTGTTTGGAGAATGGTGAGGGAAAGCAGCAAATAGTCGAGGGACAACTTAAGAGCCAGCAGTAGCTGAACAATTCAGAAGAAATATGGAAAAGTACAAAGGCCTATATGGTTGTCAGAAACAAAAGGCTGTAAAAAGCCAGATTGGTCAAGGCTTAGCAGGAAGATGTGGGCAGTGGAGGCAGAAACAGTCACAGGATCTCTTTGAAGGCCAGGAAGGAAAGCATGAGAAATAATTACTTTGACTTCCCCACATACAGGAGAGACTCCAGTGGGCCTTGCCCTCTGATGTGGTGACCAGAGCTTTTTTCATTTTTTGGCCCTGTTTGGCTTTCTCATATAATATCCTCTAGCAGTAGCCTTAAAATGGTCTTTTAAACCCGGTGTTAATTGGATTCATCTGCATTACAGCCCCTAAAAGTACCTTCTTTATCTGGATGTTTCCCACCCACACATTCATGTCACCAGTTTATGTATTTATGCTAAAAAAAAAAGTTTATTTATCACAGATAAAGCCTGGAACATAACACACCACTTTTATTGCACAGTGAATAATAGAACAATCTTTTCTTAAGGGTACGTATATCAACCTGCAGGTAGTATGGGATACACGTTCCCAAATGTAAAGAGGAAAAAGGAGACAATTAACATGACTTTCCAGAAGCCAAAATGAGACCCAAAGTTTTACCCCATTAAGACTATTGGCCCAGCCCTGGCCAGTTTGGCTAGCGGTTAGAGCGTCAGCCTGCAGTCCAGAGAGACCCGGGTTCGGTTTCCACTAAGGGCACGTGGTACCTCGGTTGCACTTTGTACCCGGCCCTGGTTGGTCGTGCAGGTGGCAGCCACTCGATGAGTCCTTTCACGTCGATGTTTCTCTCTCTCTCTTCCTCTCCCTCTCTCCCACTCTATCTGAACAAAGAATGGAAAAATGTCCTCGGGTGAGGATAAAAAAAAAAGACTATTGGCCCATACTTTAACGTTGTCACATATAGCCATTTTATTGATACAGTGTCAGCAGTTAAAAAAAAAATTACAAAATGGAGGCCTTAATGCTCAAAGAACCCATTAGGTGGCAGTGAGGACACAGGCATCTTTTGAGGTCTCACGACCCACCCCCCGCCCAGTGATGAAACCTTAGTGAAAGCAGCTTTGCGGGGCAGTAGACAGGAAGAGAAACAAACAGCCAAAAACGATGGTTTATGGTGTCCAAGTAATGTAGGACTGATAGATACTTGTACTCAATTCCTGTCCTTAGTTTTAATATACACGTTTTCATTTGTCCTTGTGCTATGATTCTTTTAATGAAATAACTATATCCAACGTCCTTTAGATCATTTGTGTGAAGTGTGGCTCATTGTGTTCAAGACCCACTACCTTTGATAACAGTTTTTTTTATAGTGACATCCTCATTCTCTGTAATTGGTGCTCAAGAAAAGCTGTTTATGGACCTGGTAGGTGTCACAGTTTGGGGTTCCAGGGAAAAGTACTCTGAGATTTTTGTGCAAGAGGTTTGTTGGGGAATGAATGCTCTTGGGAACATCACCTGTGAGAGGTAACAAAACAGCACTGGGCAGAGGGAGAAGCTGCTGTGATGAAGTTGCAGCAGGGGCCTCAGCCAATCTTCTGGGAGCTTTAGAGTTGGGATGGCCCTTCAGAGATGCCCGCTCCACCCACACACACCTTAAGTTAAGGGAGCCAGGACTTTATACCCAGCCCCAAACGATCAACCAATAGATGCAGGCTGCCCTTGTGAAAGGGCTAAGAGTAATCCAGCTGAAAACTGTCAGCCAGCAACACTCCCTAGGTCTAGGAGAATGAGAACCTCAGTCCTCAAGGGGGAATCTGGGCAACGCAACACAGCATCCCCTATTTTTGGCATCTCTGATGCTGCTTCTCTCCCAGAAGCTACCCATATTAGAAACCGTGAAACAATGTCACCTTCTCAGTTCTGTTTTCCTCGCATTAAAAGCTAATGGAAAAATGCTGCGGCACTTTCTGCAGATGATATCATGTTTGTTTCAAATTGATTTCTGATATGTATATTTTATGCTGTAGTATAGCTTGCTGAGGCATGAGCATCTCAGGTACAAAGACTAAGCATTTCCTCTGTTGAAGAATGCTCCAAAAATTGTTGGCACAATTGGTGATTATTTATTCCAGCACACCAAAAGCCATTAGGGTGAATTTTATTATTTTTTTTAAAGGAATAAATAATATTTACTGAAAATAGCCTCTTTGCAGAAAGAAAATGCATAATCGACTATTTATAAAGAAGTTTATAAATTTATATTTTTGCCTGACTTTGTTGCCTTTTGTATTCTGTGACACTGAGGCTCTTCCTAACTTTTTGCCAGTTTCAGCTAAAGGAATCACTTTTCCCCCATATACAGTAGTCATCTGAGTAACTCTACTGTCTCAGAGTCTTCCAGATGTTTGTATTCCCTCTTCTCCATGCTGCAGACAGGCCGTCGTCATTTCTCACCTAGCTTGATGCAGTAGACTAAGAATGGGATTTCTTCCCTGAGATGCATCTTCCACACGTGGCTGCCAGATTGATCTTCTGGAAACACTAAACATGCCTACACTTACCTGTTACAATCTTAACTTGTTAGCCCACCATATAAGGCCACTGATGATATGGCCACAGTCTGCTTCTCTGCCTGAGCACTGACCACATACATTCTCCATGTACAAACCTGCCCTACTCTTTTTTTTTTTTTATCCTCACCCGAGGACATTTTTTGTTCAGATAGAGTAGGAGAGAGAGAGAGAGAGAGAAACATCGACGTGAAAGGGACACATCGAGTGGCTGCCACCCGCACGGCCAACCAGGGCCAGGGACAAACTGCAACCAAGGTACATGCCCTCAGCGGGAACCAAACCCGGGTCTCTCGGGACCACAGGCTGATGCTCTAACCGCTGAGCCAAACCGGCCAGGGCTGCTCTGCTCTTTCTTGCCTTACTGGTTGGCCTCTCATGCTCTTCCCTACTTCCTGCCTGGAAGAGTATTATTAAAGACCTAGTTCCGATGGAGCGTTGATGACTGCTCACCAGCTTCCACAGGCAGAGCTCCTTGCTTGTCTCTTCTCTATTAGTATTTTTACATCTAGTAAGAGCACCCTGGACTGTTGGGGTTTAGAACAAAGTTCCTCTAGGCAGAGTTCCTCTAGGCCCCCAAAGGGCAGTGGTGACATCTTGTCCTTTGCATCTTGAACACTTGGCAAGGTGTGCCTGGCACTGGTAGAATTGAAAACATGGAAGAAGCAAACTTTTGATAGCAGTGAACATTATATTTTACTTTGGAGAATATTCTAAAGATTTCTTGTAATTGGTGTTATATTTCTCTAACACATGGGCACATGCTATCAGTTTCTTCATAGGTTATTACTATAGTAAGATACAAGGAGTTAATGTTTTGAAGCATTTTCTTGGTGAAGAGAACTTTTAATTGATCCTAATTAATGGTGTGTCTCTTCCCAGGCAGTTGACATTTGTTTTTGCTGGTAAGGATATATATAGGAAAAACAGGATTGTAATAGCTTGATTATAAGCAATTTAATCAGTGTATCTCTGGTTTACTTTTTTTAGTGTTACTGATTAGCCACCTAATTTGATGCTTTCTCCACAGGCAGAGTGAAGTAGAACCAGTTAACCCAACAGTCAATGGAAGAACAAAATTTATGCAACTGAGATAAGAAAGTGTCTACACTTTATTTTATTTTATTTTATTTTTATTATCCTCACCTGAGGACATTTTTCCATTTTTTTGTTCAGATAGAGTGGGAGGGAGGGAGAGAGAGAGAAACATCGACATGAAAGGGACACATCGAGTGGCTGACACCCGCACAACCAACCAGGGCTGGGGACAAACTGCAACCGAGATATGCACCCTTAAGCAGGAACCAAACCTGGGTCTCTCTGGACCGCAGGCCGATGCTCTAACTGCTGAGCCAAACCAGCCAGGGCGAAAGTGTCTACACTTTATAGATCTATATAGCCATTTGTCTTGTGGTTATGAAAAGTATTCAACACAGAGCCCATGTTCATTTACTCTTTTCCTGTGACTTGTAAAGAACCTAGGGTAAAGTCATGTTACTTTTTTCTTTCCCATCTGGAAAAAAAAAAGGATATTCCCCTTTATCATCATAAGACAAACAATGTGAATATAATAGCTGCTTCTAACAGTTTGTGAGCCTAGATTAAATGGTCATGGGGTTTTTTTATTGTAATTGATATTGTATTTCATCTTACTGTTTTCTTTTGCACTATTCTCAGATCTCTGTCTTATGATCAAAGGGAGAGGAGGCGTGTCAACATGCTTGCCCATGAAACAGCACACAGGACCTGGGACCTGTAGTTCTGCCTCTCTAGCTGTGAGACCTGCAGGAGGAAGATCTTAACTTCGGTGGGCCCACATTTCCTAATTATGTTTCCTTGCAGCCCTGAGACTCTGTGATTCTTCAATTTATAAGAAGTCAAGAAAGCTGACTACGCTCTTCTCTAATTAACCCAGTCCATAGATAATTACTTGACCCTACCCTCATCTCTCCTTGCTCTGAATTTCTTCTGAGGTATATCAGGGCTACATAGTCTAACCCATACTGGTTCTCTGATGGTAAGCTCTAATAATGGATTTCCATGTATGAAATCCCATCTCATCTCTTCTCTCCCCACCCCACCCCAGCCAAATCTCAGATCTAGGCATTTGTTGTAGACTCAGATCATGTTGGCTAAAGGAGGAAGCTATCTCTTAAGAATTCACTTTTTCTTTTACTTTACATAGTAAAGAAAGGTCATTTGACAACAACTTCCTCTGATAATTCCCCCCTCCCGTACACGCACCTAAAAATTATTTGTTGATTCATCCTTGAAAAGATTTTAAAAATGATTATATTAAATTTAAATCATGCAACCAAAGTATCATTTAAACATTAAAGACAAGCCACAGACCATGAGAAGATATTTGCAATAAAGAATTAGTAACCAGCCCAACCGGTGTGGCTCAGTGGTTGAGCATCGACCCATGCATGAAGAGGTTGCTGGTTCGATTCCTGGTCAGGACACATGCCCAGGTTGTGGGCCAAATCCCCAGTGGGTGGCATGCAGAAGATGGCCAATCAATGTTCTCTCTCATCAATGTTTCTCTTCCTCTCCCTTCCTCTCTCTCTAAAATCAATAAAGAAAAAATAAATAAAAAAAGAATTAGAAACCAAAAATTTTTAAATCCTATATATCATTAAGAAAACAGATAAATAACCCAATGGAAAAGTAAAAAAAGAATGAGGAGGAGTCAGAGGAGGAGATATGAACAATTTGCGAAAGAAAGAACCCCCAAATAGCCAAAAAACATATTAAATATACTCAAAGTTATAATCAGGGAAATTTCAATAAACTGTAACCCATCAAATGAAATAAAATGCAAAAGTCTGGGGGTAAAAAACAGAAAATGGTAACATTCATGCACTACTGATGGGAGCACATACTGTTAAACCCACGGTGGAGGGCAAGTTGGCATTCTCTAGTAAGTTGAAGGTGGGCACCCCTCGTAAACCAGCAGTTCCACTCTGAGGGAAGCTCTTGCATGTTAACAAGGAGACATTAAATTTATTACAGCTTTGATTTTAAAAACAAAAAACTTAAAACAGAAATGGAGAAAAAAATGTGGTGTATTTAAGTTCACAGATTAATATTCATGAAATTAATAAAAATGGATGAATTTGAGGTACATGTATCAACATGGACAAATCTCAAAAACAATCTTCAGCCCAGAAAAGCAAATTGCAGGGTAATATGTATAGTAGGAGACCACTTATACAAATGTTTAAGTCATGCAAAAATATATTATTTTGGGGAACACGTGTATAGTAAAGGTGTAAGACCATGCATGAAACATAAAGTCCGATCTCATCCTTGGCTGGTGTGGCTCAGTGGATTGAGCATCTTCCCATGGACTAAGAGGTCCTGGATCGATTCCTGGTCAGGGCACATACCTGGGTTTCAGGCTCAATCCCCAGTAGGGGCATGCAGGAAGCAGCCGATCGATGTTTCTGTCTCTCCCTAAAAAATCAGTACAAATATATTTCAAAAGAAAAAAAAGGAAAGTTTCAAACTCAGGATGGTGGTTGTCTTTGGAGGAAAAAGAGAGGTATTGGGATCAGAAATTAGTATGTAGTAGGCTTTCCACTACATCTATAATATTTTCTTTAATATATAATATTTAATATCTATATTTATTTTTAAATATGTAATTTCTATACATGGCCTCTTTTAAATCTTAGGAAAAGGTACCCAATACCGCAAAAGCGTGGCTTAGATACTACATTAGTAAAAGGTACCAACACAACCCTACGTCAAGGCTGTGACTTGGACAGCAGAATGGCCCTCAGTCAGCAGTCCCTCCTATGGGACATAACAGCCTTGACTCCAAACATCAAACAAACTCTTCTTCTCTCCTTCCTCGCATCTCAGAGTCTCAAAGAGTGAGATCTCCGTCTTCCAGCCCAAGGCAAACCCCTCCAGCCAAGCTGAGCCCATCTCTCCCCCTCTCTTCTATCATGGTCCCATCATTCCTACAGTTTCTGCTTTTCCTCGCAGCCTCCGACTCTATGGATCTGCTTGCCGGCCACTCCATCCCACTGTGGGCTGCTTTTCTCTTCCACCACCTCACTGAAATGACTGTCATCCACAAAGCTGCCAAGGCCCTTTCAGTGGCCTCTCAGTGGCTCAAAGGCAGGGAGCCACTCTGCCATGCGCACCTTACTTGATCTGTGCACCATTGGACACTGTCCTTATAAAAACTCCTCTTACAGATTCTGTCACATTTTTCTCTCTTGAGTTTCCTCCCCTTGGCTGCCGGGACCTTGGTCTCTTTTATAGGCTCTTGTTCTACCACCCAACCTATGAGTGCTGGTATTTCTTCCTCATTCATGTTTTCTCTTTACTCTCTTCAATGCAAGTAGCTGCAACAGTTACTTAACAAATATTGGTTGAACATCTACCCCATGCCAGGCTATTTTCTCAGTCCCAGGAATGCAGCATGGACAGGCCTTGCCCTCATGAGCTTACATTCTAGTTAGGGGAGACTGACAGCAACAGTTTCAGAAGCAGATCTGTAATTGTTTACATGGTGGTAAGTTCTATGGAGAAAAATAAAGGAGAGTAAGGGAAGAGGTAGTGCAAAAGGAGGGGCTGGGCCGTATTCACTTTATAGCAAATGGTCAGAAAGTCTCGTTGAATAATTGACTCGGACTGAGACCTGAAGAGAGTAAGACCTGTGACCCATGTGGCTGTCTAGTAGGAGATCATTCCATGCAGTGGGACCAGCAAGGGGAAAGACTGAGGTAGGAGTCTGGGACAGTTTGGGACATGTTGAGTTTGCACGGCCTGTTATACATTCAAATGGAAATGCCAACAAGGCAGTTGAATATCTCTGTATATCTATATCTATTTATCTCTGTCTCTGTCTGTTTCCTATCACTAGACTCTGAGCTCCATGAGGACAAGTTCTTTTCATTGCTGTGTCCCTAGCACTGGCATGGGATAGCTGTTCAATAAATATCTGTTAAGTGAATGTTGAAGCTATACTTAACCTCTGGGTCAATATCAAAAATTATAATAGAGGTATAATTGTAATCCCCAAAGAAGATGAGAGAGAAAATAATTCAGAAAAAGTGGTTAGAAAATAGTAGCTAAAATTTTTCCAAATTTTGTGAAAGACTTATAATTACAGATTCAAGAAGCTTAGTAAACACCAAGCAGGATAAATAAATCAAATAAAACAAACTAAACCTAAACATATCATACCCAAACTGCTAAGAGCAAAAGATTCTTAAAAATATTTAGGGAGCACCTGCTATGTACAAGGCAGAGTTTTGGGCACTGAAACTAAACTACACAAGATAGTTATAGTGCCTCTACTCACAGCCAATGCATTTTAAATCCTGTATTTTTAAATAACATTTTAAATAACCAACTGACCATTACATGGATGAGCTACTTATCATACACATGTCTAAAATGGAATTTATCTTCTTTTCTCCAAAGTTGCTCCTCTTCTTATATTTTCATTTTCAAGAAATGATGCCACCTGCCACATTCTACATGAGGGAAACCTAGAGTCACTCTGGACTCATCCTTTCCTTTCTTCTCGACCTCAGTGGGTCACCAACTTCATCTGTTATGCCACTACATAGCTCAGACCCTGTCCCCCCTCACAGCTGCTGTCTCAGTCCAGTCTTTTGTCATTTATAGCCTGAAAGCCTCCTAAATTGTCATCCTGCTCTCTCAGCTGCCAGAATCATTATTTTATCATGTCACTTTCCAGTTTTTCATCTTCCAGTGGTTTTCCATCCTTTTAGAAGTAGTTTCTGTAGCTTAGCATGACCTAGATGGTCCTTCAAAATCTGGGTCCTGCTGAAGTCTCCAGCCTTAGTCATACCAAGTCACTTGCAGGTTTCCGAATGAGCCAATGGCATCACATCTCTGTGGCTTTGCCAATCATTTTTTTTAAAGCAATAAATAATTTATTAGATCAAAGAAAATTGAATCCTACACTAGAAGGTGAAAGCTGAAAATCATACCACCAAATCTCCTGCGGGCTCCTTTTTAAAAATAATTTTTATTACATTTATTGGGGTGACATTGATTAATAAAATTATATAAATTTCAAGTGTGCAGTTCTATATTACATCATCTGTATATTGTACTGTGTGTTCACTACCCCAAGTCAAGTCTGCTTCCATTACCATTTATACCCCCATACTCTCTTCTACCTCCCCCCACTCCTCTTTCCCTCTGGTAATTACCAGACTGTTGTCTGTGTCCGCAAGTTGTTGTTTTTTGGTGGTTTTCTTTTTGTGTAATCACTTCACCTTTTTCACCTAGCCCCACAACCCCCCTCCCTTCTGACAGCTGTCAGTCTGTTGTCCGTTTTCTCTCTGTGAGTTTCTGTTTTGTTTGTTTATTTTGTTCATTAGATTCTACATATGGTACTTGTCTTTCTCTGATTGGCTTATTTCACTTAACATAATACTCTCCAGGTCCATCCATACTGTTGCAAAGGGTAAGATTTCCTACTTTTTTACAGTGAGTAGTAGTCCATTGTGTAAATGTACCACAGCTTTTTTATCCACTCATCTACTGATGGACACTTGGCCTGCTTCCAAATCTTGGCTATTGTAAATAAGGCTGCAGTGAACACAGGAGTGTATATAGTCTTTCAAATTAATGTTTTAGCTTTCTTTGTATATATTCCCAGAAGTGGAATGGCTGGGTCATAAGGCAGTTCCATTTGTAATTGTTTGAGGTAAGTCCCCTGCTTTCCGCGGTGGCTGCACCAGTCTGCATCCCCACCAACAGTGTACTAGGGTTCCCTTTTCTGCACAT